CGACTGGGGCTGAGGGTTGGGGAGCTTTCCCGGGAGGCTGCCTGGGAGACTTCTGCCCATGGTCGGGGCTGGGAAGTGAGACGAGCACACAGTCCCTGCTGCTTTCTTCACAGCCAACCTCCCCCCGACGCTGGCCAAGTCTCAGGTGAGCAGCGTCCGCAAGAACCTGAAGCTGCACCTGCTCAGCGTGCTAAGGCACCCGGCCTCCTCGGAGTTCCAGGCCCAGATCACCACCCTGCTGGTGGACCTGGGCACCCCGCAGGCCGAGATCGCCCGCAACATGCCCAGCGGCAAGGACGCCCGCAAGCGGCCCCGCGACGACTCGGACTCTGCGCTCAAGAAGATGAAGCTCGGTGAGTGGGGCCACGTCCGGCCGGGTAGGAGGGGTGGGGCTGGCCAGGGTTACTGTTTACACTGAACAGTCCAGCGCATACTCAGTGCTACTGGGCTGGAAGTTACATAATGTAACAACGTATCAAAACATTATTGAAGTATATAATACACTTAATAATAATTTTTAAACACACAGAAAGGAGCAAAATGAAATGGCCTCCCTTTCTTTCCCTCTCTCCAAAAGTAAGCCACCCCCCACCGATGGAACCACTTTTGTTTCCTTCTGAAATGCCTTCTCCGTGGAGAGCTCCCCTTTCCTGGTTTTATTTACAGATGTTTGCGTTTTGTTTTTTTTTTTTAACCACAAAGTAATTTCCTTTTTCAGGACTTTATTTTAATTTTTTGTGTGATTTGGGTGAGCGTTTACAGAACAAAATAGGTTTTCTGGTCAGTAGTTCATACACCTTTTGTTTTGTGATGTTGACTGCAGTCCCCGCAATATAAGGGCCTGCTGAACTCTACACTGTGGTTACCGTTTCCCTGCGTCCTTTCCCATCCCTTCCTGTCTCTGAGCTTTATTCCTGGGCAAATGCTGCCTGTTGAACTCATGTAGTTTATTGTTCTAAGGAGTGGTAACTCCCTGGTGTTACTGTTCACTTTATGAGCCTATCGTTTGGCTGATAGTTCCAAGCCTGAAGGGTGTGTAAGGGCCATGGTTTCAGAGATTCCACCAGTCTTTGTCAAACCATTAAGCTGGTCTTTATTTATGATTTTGAGTTTTATTCCATTTTTCTCTCACTTTGTCCAGAACCTCCTGTTGTGGTCCTTTCAGAGTGGTCAGCAGTGGTAGCCGGGCACCATCTAGTTCATTTGGTCTCAGGCTTGTGGAAACTGGAGATGGAGTAATTTTTTTTTTTTAAGATGCATTTTATTGAACTATAATTTATGTGCATGAAATACACAAAACTAAAGTGACATAGGTCAGTGCTTTTTATTTTTTTATTTTTTTTTTTTTTGCAGTTTTCCTTCTTTTTCCTCCCACCCCTGGTAACCAACAAAGAAAGTTGCCTTCCATATATAAACCTTTCCTTGACTCTTTACAATAATGGACTAATACTATATTTGTCCTTCTGTGATTGACTTATTTCACTCAGCATAATGTCCTCCAAATTTGGGATGAAGTAATTTTTTAATGGTTATATAATGTGATAGTTGGAGCTGTGTGTCAACTTAGCTGGACCACAATTCTGTGTGATTTAAGCAGTTGTGATGCTGGGTTATTCCAGCCTAACATATAACAGTTACTGTATTTTTATGCAAAAAAAACCTTTTTTTTTCTTCTGGTAAACAGCACATCCCCCTTAGTCGTTAGTTTCCTGCCTGTGCGTTATGTACATTATATGTGTGGGTGCATTCTGTGTGAAAAATGCAGTATACAGTGTTCATAATTTTAAAAAACATCACTCATGTTTATTTATAGAACATTTATAAAAGAATCTTTTTTTTGCTTAAGAAGATAGTGGGTTTATTTTGGTGTAAGGAGTGAGGTTGGGATCAAACACACAAAGAGGAATGCATTGCACCTTGATTTGTTTTCCTTTAGTAATTGACTTGGAGCCCCTCTGTTATCTGCACATGGAAATCTATTGCAACCTGTTTTTTTTTTTTT